ATTATCCGTGGGAAAGCTTCATTTCTCGGTTCCCCCCAAAATAGCTAGATCGTAGGAGCCATGAAGGTGTCTCTTCAAGAAGGCCTGTTCCCTTCTCTATTTTTTAAAAAAAGATTTACTTACTTACTTTTCAGTTTCATGTAGGGCACATGTGTTCACCGGAGAGAGACCCAGATAGGGCAAGTAAGACAGCAAGCCACCAGGTCCAGGACTCAAACCTCAGTCAATCATGTGGGAGTCCAGCACCTTCACCACCATGCCACCTGCTGGCCCCTTATGTGGCTGCGTGTTAGGCACCATTGTAGGCAGTAGGAGCCAAGATGATGCCAACAAAGCAGAGGTGGCAACGTGTTAGTTACGGTCACTTGGCTGGTGACACAGGGTATCCCTTGTTCCACATTTTTCTTATGGTAAGACACATGATGAGGTTTTTTATTTTTCAAAATCCTTGAGGGGAAGGCTCTCCTCTCGGGAATACTTCTGGCTGTGTTCCATTTGATTGCCGTTCTTCTGCCAGCACAGTTGTCCATGTCCCTGTGATCCTCAGAGACATACTTTGATTGGGATTCTCTACGTTCAAAATGGCAAAACCCAGATCAGAGTGAGTCAGCCAAGGCAGGGCTAGGGGCTACCTGAGGAGGCTGGGTGGGAAGGCAGAGTCTTCAGCTCACTCTCTGTCTGGGAGGCTTTCTTGGTGGCCTTCTGAGAGGCAGGCCTTCTCCGTGCAGAGGCCTCCGTAAGCTCTCTCCACCTTACAGAGGTTGATTTGGAAGGAAGAAGGTCCTGTTCCCCAGCCTCCATGTTAGTTCCCATAAGGTTCTGCTTGGATGTGTCCCCGCCTGTGTCCCAACTCTTCATCCAGGAAAAAGGGACTGTGTCCAACCCAGCTGGCACCCACCCCTGAGGCAAGGGACAGTGGGGTCATGGCATTGACAGCCCACCAAGCACCTCTTGGGGTCGGCGGCCACCTTCTGAAATTGGCTGACAGAAAAGGGGCAGGTGCTGCCCATGGTGTATGTGGGTGAGTCCAGGCCCTGGACTGTTTTTGGGAAGGTGAGGAAGTGTGCGTTCGGCACATTCCTCACCTTGTGCCTGCTGGGCCTTGCTACTTCCAGAGCCTCGACTTCAGCGTGAACGAGAAGGTGAACCTTTTGGAGCTGACCTGGGCCCTGGACAATGAACTCATGATGGTCGATGGCAATATCCAACAGGCAGCCCTGGCCTGCTACCGCCAGGAGCTGAGCCACCACAAGTAAGACCACGAGAGACTGGGGTCTGGGGATGTGGCTGGCCAGGCTGGCCTCGGGAGTGGAGCACACAGAACAGGCCACCTCTGCTCTGGGAACCAGGGGAGGCTGTACCACTCTCTGTCCTTCAGAGAGCAGCTGGCAGGCTCCCAGCACAGGCTTGACCGAGGAAAGAGGAGTGCTTTTCAAACATAGCTACAAGTGCAAAGTGGCATTTGGCCCAGGGATACGTTCCATTTTAATTGGGTTCGGCTTTGGTTTAGTGGCTAATCCATCTGCTAAGCAGATTTGCATAAAGATTATTTTTGCGTTTTATTGGTGCTCCAAAGCTGCAGAAAAAATTGGCAGAAGTCATACGTCTATGCCAAAGACTGCATGACTTTAGGTGCTGAGTCGTGTGCTTCCCAGCTCAGGCAGCGCTGCAGATACAGTCAGAGAAACTTGCCCAAGTCCCTCTGGTTGTATTTGCAGAAGCTCCTTCGGGGGAGAAGCAGTCCCCAGAATAGCCGGGTCTGCGGGGAGTTTACACAGAGCCTCAGCAGGGCCTAAGTGGTGACTCCAGGGCCAAGGACACACACGGGTGACCCACTCAGATGCTGGCTGCCAGGTGAACAGGGCTGGAAGCAACATGCATGATAGGTGGCCAGCGCCTCTCCCTCATATTCTTTCCCAGACCAGGTGCTGGGGACCCAAGGGCGCCTGGCCCAGCTGGAGCACAGGGGAGCACAGACCATCCTCACAGTCCTGAGGCCGACTGAGAGATCACTCTGCAAGGCTCTAGGCCTTGTGGGCACCCCTGGGACTTCTTAGGTTCAGAAACCTTCCAAGAACTTGCTTTGGCAAGTCGGTCAGCCTCAGTGTATGCATCTGTAAAGTGTCAGCCCCTGCCAGAACTGCCAGAGGAGGTGACTGGTGGCAGTAGTGAGGCGGGAGCGCAGCACGGGCCCTCGTAAGGCATCCAGCTAGTGTGGCTGTTTGTGGCGTTCACGCAGACCTGGGGCTCTCTGGGCCCTAGCAGTCCTGGCTATGTCAGGTCAGGCTGACAGCATCCCCGTCTGACCCTGTCTGTCTCCCGGGGCAGAGGGCAAGTGGAACAGCTGACCAGAGAACGAGACAAGGCGAGGCAGGACCTGGAGAGGGCGGAGAAGAGGAACCTGCAGTTCGTGAAGGAGATGGATGACTGCCACTCTGCCCTGGAGCAGCTCACGGAGAAGAAAATCAGGTAGTTTCTGGGCCTGGTCCTGGCTCCTGCACCGTCGGGGCAGTGGTTTCTTACCAGGGGCTCTATGTGCTGGGCTGCCGCCCACTCGAGCATAGCAGAGCAGGGGTCTCCTACGTCACCTGAGCCAGTAGGGGCTTTGGGGGAGGGGCTTTCTTGAAAGAAGAGGGGTGAGGGACCAGCAGTTAGCATAATGGCTATGTCGCTGGACTCCCAAGTAGTCGACCACGGTTCGCGTCCCGGACCCGGTGGCTTAAAACTGGGAACCAGCAGTTAGCATAATGGCTATGTCGCTGGACTCCCATGTAGTCTACCGCGGTTCGTGTCCCGGACCCAGTGGCTTAAAACTCACACTGGGCGCGTGTGCATGTGTGCCCAAGATCCCAAGAGGATAATGGAGGAGAAGGGATTGCGGCGTGACCATCCCCCCTGGGGGATGATTTCTCGCTTTCCATCTCTATGTCTCTCTCTGTCTGTCTGGCGAGCGCACGTGCCCTATAGTGAAAACCTCTCAAAAAAAAAAAAAAGAGAAGAGGGGTGGTTGCAAGCACAGCCCCTCTCTATGGTGTCAGTGGTGCTCTGGGCGTCCCTCTGTGGGGACCGTGGCTGCAGGGAGCATCCTGTCTTATGCCCTGTCAGTCTGTCCCCCAGACAAGTGCTGGCTGTGGCCTCCTGTTGGCTCAGCAGGTAGCGGGAGCCCAGAGGCTGGCACCTGACTCACCTGTCACGGCCGAAGTGTGTCCCTAGTGTAGGGTCAGTGGTCAGATCAGGGAAAAGGTCGGGGAGGCTCCTTGGCAGAGCCGTGTTCTTGTCCCTCTTCCTGGAGTGCTTGCTCTCCCAGAGACTTCTTTGGGGTTGACGAGGGTGTGCATACTAGGAACTGTCCTTGCGTGCTCATCTCTCGGGATGGCTGCAGGGTGTAACTGGCCTCCTTGACCCTTCTCCCTAGGGGCTGCCTGAGGCTGTAGCTCCACTGTCCCCAAGTCTTTCCATCCCCCCTCAGTGGGTCTTTGGGCCTCTGCAGCCTGATAAGTGCAGCCAGTCAGTGTCAGAGTGCTCAGCCCCAGGCTGGTGCTGGCTGCTGGTGGAAGAGGGGGTCTGTGCTGCCCCTATGGCCGTAGCCCTCCCACTCAGCAGGACTTGCAGGGCGGGCTCTGGACAGGGCAGAGCCTCCAAGTCCCCTCCTCCTAAGGGTGTTTGGGGAAGACCACACACCTCTGCATGGCATGGGGGTGTGAGCGAGAGTGTGTGGGAGTGCTTGTGGGCATGTGTGAGGGGTGTTGCTGTGCCCTACTCAAGTCCTAGTCCCTCTCACCAGCTGCTGCACTCCACGGCTCCCACAGGGTAATGGTAATTTTCAGGAAAAGTAAAAATGAAGTGCCCTTCACCCAGCATAAGGAGGTATCTGGATAAAGCAGGAAAACCGGGTGTGCGAGCCCTGCCACGTGACACAGGTCACTCATGTGCTGGCCTTGGCCAGCTCTGAACCCCTGCCCTAGGCATGGAACTCATGGGTTTATTACAAAGAGGCCTTTCAGTGAGTAACTATTCAGTTTCTTTTCCGTCCCTGTCAGTAGGTAGTCTTTATCCAGCTGATTCATCTAAAAGCCCAACTTTTAAGCTTTTCCATTTACCATTCTGGCTGGGCACATTCCTGAAGGTCGAATCAGGAAGCTCTGACTGTGAAGACTGGTCCTGGTGGACATACTCGCTTAAAGTTCTAGGGTATTCTCCTAGTTCTAGGGTATTCTCCTAGTTCTAGGGTAGTCTCCTTGTCTTCACAGAGCAGGGCACATGGTCAGTTTGGCTTTTCTCAGAGTGAAGCTGTTGTTTAAGATTCGGGGTCCAGGGTCTGGCAGGTGTTATGGTGGCTAAAGTCGCTGGACTCCCACCTGGCCGACCATGGTTCAAGTCCTGGACCTGGTAGCTTGCTTCCTCACTTTTCCTCTTTCTGTCTCTCTCTGATCAAACTGGGAAATAATAAGAATAATAATAAAAACAAATAAAGTTAAATAATTCTTCTAAAAACAAAAAGATTAGGGACCAGAGTGTGACACAGTTGTAATACAACTGGGCCCACAAGGGAAGGTCCCTGGTTCAAGTCCTAGGGCCTCCTTGAGCACACTGGGTGTGTGCATACCTGGGGTCCTGGCTGGCTGAGGCTGAGAGTGGATTGTGGCCTAAAGACCCTACTGAAGGTGTATCTCTCTCTCTTTCTCTCTCTCTCTCTCTCATGGAAGAAAGAAATAAACTGTAAGAGAAAAGTTTTTGTTTTCAAGAACTTCCAGTTTTTATTTTCTTAAACATTATTTAAAATAAAAGCATTCAACCAAATTTTTTTAATATAGTAAAATAATCAACTTATAATATCAGCCCTTTCATTTAGGGCCAAGGAGGCCAATAGTTCCCATTTAAACAGCAGAATTGGTCAAATAAAGTTAAATAATTCTTCTAAAAACAAAAAGATTAGGGACCAGAGTGTGACGCAGTTGTAATACAACTGGGCCCACAAGGGAAGGTCCCTGGTTCAAGTCCTAGGGCCTCCTTGAGCACACTGGGTGTGTGCATACCTGGGGTCCTGGCTGGCTGAGGCTGGGAGTGGATTGTGGCCTAAAGACCCTACTGAAGGTGTATCTCTCTCTCTTTCTCTCTCTCTCTCTCTCATGGAAGAAAGAAATAAACTGTAAGAGAAAAGTTTTTGTTTTCAAGAACTTCCAGTTTTTATTTTCTTAAACATTATTTAAAATAAAAGCATTCAACCAAATTTTTTTAATATAGTAAAATAATCAACTTATAATATCAGCCCTTTCATTTAGGGCCAAGGAGGCCAATAGTTCCCATTTAAACAGCAGAATTGGTATTTTTAACTACATTTGATGACACAGAGATATAAAAGTGATACAATTTCCATGGACACCCTTCTTCCCTCCAAGTAGTTTTTACGGTTGTTTCTCAAATCAGCTTTTAAAAATTACCAATTTTACTGTGAAATACATCTACAGTTACTCTGATAACGAGCATGCTTTTTACCAATTCTTATAAAAACAAATACCTTAAAATAATTTTGTGGCATATTAGATTGCTTAAAGAAACCATCCAAATAAAATATTTGCCCTAATTAAGTATCCCTCTTATAATTTCTTAGCAGAGATGACATGCAAGAAGTAGAATGCACCATTTTTTTGTTCTTGGTTGTAGCTGCCAGCTTAAGAGTTCATGACTGAAAATACAAAGCAAAATAATAATATGCTCACAAATTCTGGAATGGGAGAAAATATTTCTTTAAAGTATCTTGTCTATCTTTGCTTCCAAGGCATGACAAAAAATTCACAGCAGTTGAAAGGAGTTTAAAGGACGATGAAAGACTAAACATGGGGTCTGCTAAAATAAAACTGAGATTAATTTTACTTATTACACTACTATCATGAAAACTACAATAAGTATGATAGGGTATCACCAAGAAACATTCTACAATAACCTACTGGAGCAAACAGCATTTAACAGATTTACAGATTAGGCATGCTAGCCTTTACACGGAACACCTAACTTTGATACTCTTGAATATGTAACCTTAAAAAAAATAAAGATAAAGAAAGGGGTATATGATTTATGACATCTGGTCAGGCACTTAATTTGGGGCAAGAGATTTCAGATTTTGAGGTAAACTAGAATTATTTTCAGCAATCACAAACAGATTCTAACGACCACCTTTTATACCACACATACTAGAGTTATTCAGCATTTATGTATAAGGTTGTAGTGCTATTGTGCCAAAATTCATCCCTAAGTGTGACTTAAGAAACTATTCAAAAACATTTTCGAGTTTGAATTTGGGCCCCATTTAGATACTTCTGTGCTTAGAATATACTTGAGAAAACTGTAAAGTACATATCATAGAGGTCTCTTTTTCCAAGGAAAAAAAGCATACACTCAAGACATTCATTTTCATGTATAATGTTTTTTGAGACCTCTATTCCACTAAAGAATATGTAAACAAAGTCTACAAACCACTTCTAGGAAAAAGGCACTTCGCTGCGAAAGTTAGATTTAATTACAGGAAAGTTGAGACGATTAGGATAGACTCAAAAGTCAATATTCTCTTTAGTCTTTATGAATTCAGAGCAGATGCCAATTTATAGAACATAGCCGGTAACATTACAAATAAACCAAACAGCAATATTAACTATATTCTCAGCAAAACAGTAATTTATGACATTTCTCCAAAAACTAATATAGTTCCAAGTTCAATAGTTAAAAAAGAAAAATCACCAGCAGTTGCTACTTTAGAGCACAAGACACTGTTTTTAACAGAACTTCATGTCTACGGTTTGGTTCTCTGTTTCAGAGCATGGATTACTTTTCAGATGAAAAATCTAGGGTGATAGAGGCTTGTTTATACATATTGGGAAAGAACCGAGGGCGGAAAAATACTGGGGCATACTAAGAGATGCTTTTCTCTAGTCAGACAACCGAGTGAGGAGGTTGTCTGACTCTGAGAACTTCTCAATAGAGAATACTGTACTGTCTGCTGAGGTTTGGGGAAGTAGCAGAAGCTTCTCTGTAGGACTGAAGGCAGCAACAGGAATACTTCTCCTCCAGGAAGTCAGGTCCAGGGGGTCAGTACAGCTTGGAGGTGGCTCAGAACTTTGTATCTTGTTACATGACCACACATGGCAAACCCAGACGACTTTGAGCCCCATCATCACTGCTGTTGAGATTTTTCATTCAGTATTGGCGAATTTCTCTTCCCAGTGCATCTTCCACACCCTGTCTGGTCTTGGCCGAAGTTCCGATGAATGGAATCCCATAACTCTTGGCTAGTTCATGGGCTTGTTTTGTATCAACTGTCCTTGTTGGCAAAGGACAAGCACCACGGGTACATCATCTGAGTCTTTTACTCGCTTAATCTTCTCCCTGTAGAGATTAACATCTGCAAATGATTTGCTATTATTGATAGAAATACACAGAGGAAGCCTTCACCTATCTTCCTGTGTTGGTCTCTC